TAGATTCTGCTATTTAACACAGCAGACTACAAATGAAGTTCTTGTAAGTTTTTTTCAGAGATAAGTGGAATGGTAATATGTTATATAAGATACTGAGGCTAAGTTAGCCATAAATCTATTTGTTATTACTGATGCATATGCATGTTAGAAGAAATATTTCCACTCTTTCTGTTGCAAATTTTCATAAATGTTTAATCAGATATTCCATATTGTGTATAAGATTCTGTTCTTTTGTGTTTCAGGTTCGGACTTATGAAGAATGCAAAATGTATGTTTTCCTTGTGAAAAAGCTGACAACCAGTGATTTAATACAGAGGTTAAAAGATACACCTCATGCAATACCAGCAATCACAACTGAGAAAAGTAAGTTATAGATTGCTGGAGACATGAAAGGGACTTGTGAAAATAGAAAAAATTTAATGAAAGTAACTGTTTGAACTTCAAATAGCTTTGACCTTGACATATCTTTAAACTTTAGGTTATATTACCTCATCAACTATTTTATAGAAATAAACTAAGTCTTTCTTGAGTGAGAGAGATAGAGTGCATGAAAGAATAAGTGAATGAGTGAGTGAGTACATGTGTAGGGAGGGAGGGGGGGGCATATGTGTGTGTGCATGGACATGTGTGAGCTTGCCAGTGTAAGTGCAGGTTGTAGGTTTAATCTAACTTGTAGATGGAAACCGGAACCTTTACACCCAAGCAAATCCCTTTCACAGATCTTTATTTTCTTGCTCAATAATTCTTTGTGAATCTTAGTATTTCTCATGCCTTGTATTTAGTGCATATCCCAGATCTTTTATATAGAGTTTTCCTCTCTTTGACAGTTAAAGAAAAGTTGAGTCAAGATACTTCTCTAGAAGAAATTGCCCCAACCACTCTACAGTGCTCTTTGCTGTGTCCCCTTGGTAGAACCCGCTTAAAACTCCCTTGCCGTGCCTGGACCTGCAAACATCTCCAGTGTTTTGATGCTGCTACTTATATTCAGATGAATGAACAAAAACCTAAATGGTGTTGTCCAGTTTGTCGTGAATCTGCCCATTACAAGAACCTGCATATTGATGGGTAAAGAAAATATTTACTTTGATATGTTTGATCAAGAAACTGAGATTGTCAGCAATTTATATATGCAGTTTTAAAGGGTTTATTATGAATAGGGAAAGGATGAAGAGGGCAGACAAAGAAATAGGGAGAAGTGATAGATATCAAGAGAGAGATTTTTTCTCTCAGAATGAAGGCAACAGCATGTAAACTAGTTAGTGATAAGAGGAAGGAAATGAAATAATTTTTCTTAAAAAACATGAGATGGTCAACAAATTGAATTTCTTTAGAAGTGGATCTATTATTTTTCTTTTCTTATTGAAAACAACAGCTGTTTCACAAGTTGAAGAATAGCCCTGTACAGACTGTAATTAAATATTCTATTTAGTGTTTGAGGTGATCACTTTTTAAGAATGATTATAGCTTTAACATCAGATTGCCTTGACATTTGATATTAAAATTTTTTTTAAATTTCCATTCAGGTATTTTTTCAATGTCTTGGCGGAAAATACCACAGATGATACAATAGTGTTGCTTGCTGATGGTTCCTGGAAACCAATGAATGTAGCTGAGCAAGAATCAGAGCAAGTAGGAGAGACTTCGGAAAGGATTCAGCATGGGGAAAGCACAACTGTACCTGTGACTGAGAAAACAATAAATATAGAAAGTGATGATGATGAAGACTGTGGTAAAGACCATGCTTCTGAGGATAATGAAGGTAGGGAAGAAAAGAGAAATGCTGGATCCTTTTTTATATTATGAGAGATAAGAGTCATTTTGATAAGAAGTTAGTTTGAATTTTGTAGTCAAGTAATCCAGTATTATTGAATTGTTGAAAAACAAACTTGATATTTGAAGTGTTGAAGTGCCCAAAGATTAGAATAGTACAAGCAGGAAATTTGGCCTATGTGATAGAGACAAAATTAATGTACCACTTCTTATCCTTTTTTTTATTGTTCATTCATTCCATTCATACTATTAAAGTTCTAGAAATGAGTGTAATCAAAGAATTATTTATGCTGTAGTTTTAAGATGATAAAAAAATGATATGTTTACCATTAAAAGCAATATGAAGATTTCTGAAGCAATGTCTCCGAACATTAATGGTGCCAATCACTTTTTTATATTTTACACTTCTCTTTTTAAGATTCCATTGTGGCAAGTACCTTGTCATCAACTGTGGAAACAATTACCCTTAGTGATGATGAACCGTCAGATCCAGAGAGTCTGGAAATAACAAGAACTAGTTTTAGATTCTGTAGCACTCCAATGTCCTCCCAAAGAAGAACCAGACAATGTGATTGTCAAAGTCAGTCTATTAGCCCAAGAACCAGAGGCAGAACATCTCGGTTACAAAACAACAGTGAAATCAGTGATGTATCTTCTGCCTTTGAGGACACCAGCTTTGAACAGTCAAGCCATGCTTCAGATGATTCATTCTTACCACTCTCTGTATCTAGTAAGTTTTCTGTTAAAACCCTCCCCAATCCTTTGCTTGTTGTTGCCGTGGGGATGCTTAGGAGGCAAGGACTGGGACCCAGTGTTGGGGATCTCCCCTACCTTGGGCCTCAACTAATTTTGCATGGTCTTTTCCCCCTCCTGCTTTTTTGTTTCTGTCCCTTCTCCAACCCCTTCTACTATCCACTTCCTAAGGTGTGAGAGCCATGCTGAAAGAATGAAAGGCTGATTTTGTGCCATTCCAGAATGGCTTAAGGGAGCCCTTTGCTCCCTTAAGTTGTCTAGCCCTTACCCCTCAAAGGGACCCTGAGAGGGTGGACTGTTTCTTTTCCCAACATAGGCTAGACTTACCATGGCTAATAATGCAGACATTTATACCCTTGTTAGGAGCAGTGAGGCTTGCCCCTTCATTAAATAGCCCCACCATTTCAAACTCCTGGTTCCCTGAATCCAGGCTCTCCTTTGACCACAACTCTAAACACTGCAATTACTACCCACTCCTCAATGCCTACTAGTACATTACCGACCCAAGTCAAGACTCAATCTCCAGGAGACATTCCTACTCTCCCAACTTCCTCAACTTCATCACCTCAACCCCCACAACCTTCATCTTTCACATCTTCTTCCCTTACTGCTTCTCTACAGCCGTATTGTTCACCTCTCCATAATACTACCTCCCTCAACAATACTCCCTCTTCCACTTGTCCCTGTCCTTCTACCACCCCCATCTCTACAAATATCTTAAGGGGACTGTCCCTGGAAATGACCACCTTTCCCTACTCATTTCATCATAAAAAAAATGGGTGGAGATAGCTCATTCATTTTTTTGCATCATATAGAGCATAGAATTGTGCTTTGTCTCTTATATAATTTTGACCTCGCAACTCCATAGGGGGGACACCCCCCAAATTTAAATTATTATTTTTTTCTTTCCCATCATCTTCGGTACATCATCACAGCCAGTTTTTTCTGAACAATCCCCCCAAAATTCATGTATTAGATCTATCCTAGCTGCTGATTTTTGAATTTCCTTTTTTCAGAGGCGGGGGAGTCGTTGACAGAGAGTACTATTTTTTTATATGTTTTTTCAGCATTAAAAAATTTATATTTTTTGATTGAGGCCAAAATTTAAAAATCGGCAACTTGTTATTTTTCTCAAAATCTAATGGATGTTATATATCAAAAAAAGCTTATTTAGTGTACTCTGTGATGCTATGGTTACCAAGTCAATCAGAATTACCATTTTCAATAGTGTATGTAAATTTTAGGTAAAGGCATGTAATTTTTTTATTTGTTTGTTGGATATAAAAGTAGATATTTTTGACTGAAAAGTTTAATAAATGCATTGGACCATAGAAAGAACTAAGTCTAAACCAGATAAAAAACTTTTTTTTCTCTTTTTTTTCTTTATTTCTTCAATTTTGAAGAAATGGAGAACTATTGTTGACAACATTAGTACAAAATCATCCTAATTATAAAGTCCTAGCATGAATACAGCATGGTTGGTCAGTTTTGAGAATTTTAAAAGCATATGAATATAGTGCATGGAATTCAAAAACTTACCTAAGTAGTTGAATTTTTCCCATGCTCCACACAGGGGAATGGTCACTGAGTGTTTATAATTTTTGAGGAGGATCATATGTTCATAAACACACGTACATAAACTAAAACAAAAATTAATCATCCTCTTTTAGTAGGCCTATATCGACTTTTATATCTAAAGAAATTAATATATTAGTTATCCCTCTCAAACCGTTTTCTTCGATAATTGTCATAAGGAACAAATTGCAATGGGAAACAAGTGTAGAGTTGTTGATTGGCCATTTGCACTAATTATCTTTACTAAGAAGTGCATAAAATCATGCAGACACCTAGTTGTGGTTGGATATTTGCAAATTTTCAGTACCTAATACCTACGCTAATGTCTAAACGTAATATTTTTTTATTGGGAACGCACAAAACAGATGCGATAGCTTTTTCAACTTTGGACGAAGACTGTGCACACAAAAGCTCAAAATTCCTTATAGTTTTTATTTCAGAGCGGGTATTACTGAGTACTGTCATCTTCAATATGAAATATTCAGTATTTCGCTTATACATCTGAAGTTAACCCAGCAGCGACGGGTAAAAATTTTGTCAAGTTTACGTACGCACTGGCTTGTTGGTGCGCACCAGCAGTTTCCCCTGTTTGTGCCCGGCTTGATCGGTAGTTTGCGAGCGACATATAGCACCTAAAAGCTTTTATTTTGCTAAAATTTATAAAAAATATTAAAATTTTGAAGGTTTACCTTCACTTCAGGTGCCATTGCCTAAAATCTTTACCATATAAATGAAGCCGCTACTAGTGGAGAAAAACAACCTCCGTCCGACGAGCCAGTAGCTCGGGAATGGGCATGGCATGATGCCCCCAGCGTTTGGTCCACAACAGCCATGGCATGTACGTACGTGACACCTGGCGCCAATGGGTTAAAAAATCCAAACTATTAGGTACCCTTCGTATTGAATTGCCGTTTACAACAGTAATGACCAATTTCAAATCAAATCAAATTTACCAATGCTGTGATGTACCGACAGTTGAGTCAAGTCTAACAGAAATATTTCAATCCTTACTTATACGGCTATTTTCAAACATTAGTGCTTCATACTTGGTATATGTACAGATCACTTCCTAAGCTACAACATATTACCAGGGAGTCTTGATAGAAGCATATTTCGTGTGTGAAAGGACACAAAGCTTACTTTTTTTCGTCATATGTCACTGTGATATAATTTTTTTCTGATATTGATATAAAAGTATTCCTTGAACATTCATGAACTCATATCTTTGCACAATGTCATAATCAAATGCTGTATGCACGATTGCAACAAGCAAAAGTCTACTTAGTTGTAACTGGGCGCTCATTAGCAACGTACCTCTCCAGGCGTTTAGTGGGTCTCGGGTTCGCCGTCCGGGAACTAGCCACAGTAGGGCTTTAATACTTATTAGGTTGTTTCCTCATCCATTCACCTATACTATACGCTAGCTAACTCAATTTGACCCCCCTCCCCACCCCCATCGGGGATGGTCCCCTTGAATACTCCATTTTGCCCAGTCAAATGGGACCAATTTTTCACAATCCCCCCACAAAGATCCTTACTCTGACAACATTCTTCTCTTGGTATGCAGATTGTCCTTGACCTTTTGAATAATTATTAACCCCAGTAAGAACAGTTTCAAATAAAAATTTGAGATCAATATCTCAAGTGATTTCAGATTTACAGCTAATAAAAAATACCTCATTTTAGGGTGTGGTGCCACCCAAGTTTCATGCTCTGACTGGTGCATTTTAGATTCATTTCATACTTCCTATGTGAATGAAAATTTACACCTTTTGATGCTGAGGAACTCAAAAATCATACTTAAAATATCATGAACTGATGCTGTTTGTATGTAATTGGTCAGTGAAACCATTCATTGATTTCAGGAAAAATTTTAATCCCTTCATTTTGAGCCAATTTTTTTCTATGTCTCCCTAAACATATAGCAGTTTACTTTACAGCAATTGAAAGAGCATTCTTTGAACTGTTTGAAAACACCAAGAGAGAAAAGATGATTGCAGTTGAAAAATTCTTTTGATTTTTGTAAAAATTTGCCATTTAACCCCAACCTGATGGGTGGCATGTACATACATGCCATGCCATTTGTGGACCGAAAAATGGATGGCTTCGTATCATGCCCATTCCAGCGGCACTGGCTCGTCAGACTGAGTTTGTTTTTCACCGATAGTAGTGGCTTCATTTATATGGTAAAGATTTTAGGCAGTGGCACCTATAATGAAGGTAAACCTTGAAAATTATAATATTTTTATTGATTATAGCAAAATAAAATTGTTTAGGTGCAAAATGTCGCTCGCAAACTACCGATTGAGCAGAGCGCAAACAGGGGAAACTGCTGATGCACGCCAACAATCCCATTATTACGTCCACTTGCCAAACATTTTTACCCATCGGCACTGGGTTAACATAAATTCTTTCCAATTATTTTGAAATATTTGCTTGCAAGCATGGCCTCAAGAGTTCATAAAAAGCCCAATAGTTTTATTGGAAATGTCATTTGAAATTTTCTAAGTATCAAGACTTCAAACCATCCACAGAACAGTTTTATAAAAGCCTGATGCCGCAGATATCTTAACTACTCTTGGATTTAAATCATGCATGAAAGGTATGATCAGCAAGACTGAAGTGATAACTCTACTTTAAGGTGAATAACAAATTACCTTTCAGTTTCCCAGACTAAAAATATTATGTATTTTTAAAAAATTAACTTCAGTTTTATTATGTGTTCAGTCACTGACAGTATTGAGTGCATAAGTCTGGCAGATTATTTCAGACAACATAGTAAGTTAAAGCTTATTGTCTTCAGAGAAATGCATGTTTTGAAGTTTCCTAGTAATGTTAAATGTGCCTGCAAAATCATCATCTTCAGATGTTTGTGGCTCAAAGAAGTGGTAGCTCCTGGTCCCAGGTAATGTATGTCCTTAGTCAAATCTGCATTGCAATTTTCTTTGAACACCAAATCAGAGAAAGCCGTCTCTGATTTAATGATTTTTAGTAACTGTATTTCACAGACAAAACTGGTATCCTGGTCTAAATCATATAACACAAAGCAAAGCAGTTTGTGGAAAAGTTTCCCTTTTTTTATTTAATGTGCAGGGTTGCTGTATTGTTTACTCTAATTAAAGGACTGAACCTTATCTTACATAACAAAAGTAAATTTTTCTGCAAAGTCCCCAAGAACTATTAAAAAGTTTTCAGGAAGGTTTTCCTTTCTACTCTTATGATACTTTGCTTGACATTTGTTATGAATGAGAGAGGAGTTAAGGTATCATTGGTTTCAGTGAGGAGGTCAGTATACTCAAAAACACTCAAGCTCTGGGTAACTATTTTTATTCAATCTGCTTTACAAATAGTTTCCTTATCATGCAATTCTTCTGTTAATTTGTCAAGATAATGAGCCTTCTT